TGGGATAGGAGGGGTGGGAGGAAGAGAGGTGGTGTGGGCATCTGGGGAGGGGAGGTGGGATGAGATGGGATGGCACAGGAAGCAGCCCTGTGCAGTTGGAGGTACCTGGCACTAGTCCTGCTCTGGACCTGGGATGTGCAGAGTGGGAGGTAGCTGTGGCTTGGCCTGTAGCTCCTGGAGGCCCCAGGGGCAGAGGTGAACTCACTGGCTGTGCCTGCACTGCATTCATGTCCATCTGCGGGCAGCTGGCCAAGCTGCTATGCAGGTCTGGTCGCACGCGGCCATGGTGGGGCCTGTCTGGTTCTGACTTTGGGGCCATTGCTGCAGTCCTCTCCTTCCAAGTAGGGGTCCATGTGGCACCAGCATCTGTGGACCATGGTTGAGGCTGGAAGATAAAGGGCCGTGACCTTTGTGAGGCCGCCTCCTCCACCCAGGGCGGAGCAAAGCCCAACAGGGATGAGCACATGGACTCCCAGAGCTACCCAAGTCCAAGACCTCACTGGTTGGTGGTGACTGGATTGTAGTGCAGCCTGAGGGCTGAGGCTCAGCGTCTGCCTCCTGCGGCCCAGTCCAGCTGAGCCTTTCCCTAGAACCCAGGGGCCCTGGACTCCGAGCCACATTCCCACCCTTAGTTTACACTTTATCTAGACACTGGGTCTGACTGGGCTCGCTGTCCTCCTGCATCGGCCTCCCCAGCTGCAGCCCAGCCCAGAGCTTTGAGTGGCCGCCTTCTTCTGATTGGAAACAGATCCTGGCCCCAGGAACTGAGATGCATAGGCTGATGGCTTGAGGAACTGTGCCCCGCTCTCTCGGGTGCCTCTGGCGCTCTGTACAGTGTGCTTTGTCAGCAGCACCCACTGTAAGGGCCACCTCACAGGGCGCTCAGCCTCCGAGCCAGTCCAGGGAGGGGAGGGCGCAGGTCAGGGCCTGGTCTCCTCCCCCCACTTCAGCACAGAAGTGGAGGACATGCCCGTCTTGGCTGGTCATACCCACACCTTCAGAGGGGGAAAGGAGTTGCACTGGCTGGGGCAGGCTGGGTGGCCATGCCCTTGGTCGTGGTCTTCCTTCTGTTTGCTTTTTAAAACTTGGTGCTGTACAGATCCACGTCAAAGTGGGACATGTACACATGCAGTTATAGCCCAGGCCTGTCGGAGGATCCGTCCCACCCCAGCTTCCCGTCTGAGAGAAAACATGGGCCCTCGTCTTCTGAGTCTGGCTTAGCACTGGGCCAGTTCTTGAGCACCCCCCAGGTACCAGCACAGCCCTCTGGGAAGGCAGTGTGGGGAGGGCTGCACCACGCGACCCCGTCCCCCTCCTCGTGTTCACCCAGAAGCCTGCAGTCGGCGTGAGTCTAAACTGGCTTTGGGAGTTCGCTATGGAGCAAGCTACTCATATTCTTTTTCTTGCTGTTATCAATGGAATCTTTAAATTTTTTTTCAGGTAATTATTTGTTAGTATGTGAAAATGCGACTACTTTCTTCAACAAATGCTTTTAGCATCTTAATACTCTATCCTGCCACTTTTCCAAATTCACTTCTTAGAAGACTCAATACCAATCCATATCAAATTCTTCCAAAAGAATGGGGTCAGGAGGACAGGTCCAGACTCATTTTGGGGAGCCAGCGTATGCCTCGTCCCCTGCCAGGGAACCCTGCTACAAGGAAAGTTGGGTACTGGCCAAACAAATGCCAAAGATGCAGAGCTGATTTAACGTGGTCAGGCAGGACTGCTCTCCAGGAATCAAGGGCAGTGGGATGGACGCAGCTCCATCAATGTGACCCCACACTGACAGAACCAAGGTGACAAGGTGACACCTCAGGAGGAGCCTAAGGAGCACTGACAGACAAGACCCAGCTTCCTGTGCTGGCTGTCACCTGTGCTGTAGGGGAACCAGCCCCCCACAGTGGGGCCGCAGGGAGAGCCAGACAGCTGTGCTCACAGCCAAGGCTGGTGCTGTGCAGAGGAAGAAGGGAGGAGGAAGAAAGGTTCTGGGCAGACAGCAGGAAGACCCCCTGGGGTCTCACCACCATGTCCCACACGCAAAGCGTGTCCTCGGAAACCCCAGGGATGCTGAGTGCTGCTTCTGTTATTAGGGCCAGGCACCTGGTAGTGGCTCAAGTTGCTCTGCAGCCCAGCATTAAAACTGCCCTCCTCTGGTCTGTCCTCAGGGCCTGGTGAGGTCCCACAGTGCAGAGCAGTGGCAGCTAGGGGTCAGGCCACCTGGAAATTCTCCTTGGCACCAAAGTGGACCAGTAGAGCTGAACCTGCATTAAGGTAAGTGGCACAGTGCCCATGTGTGCCAATGCCCTGTGGTCTGAAGAACACAGGATTCCATGTCAACTGCTGGCCCAGCTCTAGTGTGTGTTTGGTACCAGGGACTGAGCCCAGGGGCATTCCACCACTGAGCCACATCCACAGCCTTTGTATTTTTTTATTTAGAGACAGGGTCTCACTGAGTTGCTGAGGCTGGCTTTGGAGAGCCCCCTGCTGAGCCGCTGGGATTACAGGTGTGCACCACTGAGCCTGGCATCCCCGTCTCTTCTCCAGTGGCTGCTGACTTGAGGTGAGCGGGTTAAGGGTGGAGACATCAGGATCTAGAATTCCTCTCTCCACAGAGCGGTCTTTGAATGACGCCACCACCACAGTTCCTGTGCACGTTTATGGGGAGTGGTGTGGTGATCCAATCAGGGCATTAACGTGGGTAGACGTGAGTGTACGTTTGACACTTTGACCAACATGACACGTGCCCATACCTGGGGTCTCTGTTCGGATGATCTGCTCAGGTCGGGGCCCTCGACATCCGCACCCCATTCCCGCCTGGACTCTCACCATACTCAGTGCTGACCATTCGTTCCTGAACGCTGACGCCTTGTCCCAAGTGGACAGAATGAGAGATCCCAACTCTCCATTTAAAAACGCCACCTGCAAGCGTAGAGAGCTCAGATCAGTGTTGAAAGGTCTCGGTTCCATCCAAAATCCTGTGTGATCTTGAAACTAGACAACCTCCTGTGCTCGGCAAGGAGAACCGGGCACTCCAACAGGCCCTGCGCTCCGTGGGCCAGCCACAGGGAGCCCCGTGCAGGTAGGAGGACAGAGGCAGCCCCGCTGGACTGGTGTGACACACGGTCAGGAGACCAGATGGCAGCTGAGCTAGACTCGGCAGTGGCAGGAGGGCCAGCCGAGTGCACACCAGGAAGACCTTGGCAGGGGACCGGAAGGCAAGGACACCCTGAGGCCAAAACCCAGAGACGAGTTTGGGGGGAGGGGGGGAGGAAGATGGCCCTGCCAGCCAGAGAGGAGCCCCTCTTAAACAGAGTTAAAGAAGAACCACAGGACGGAACTCCGATGAACTTCTCGTCCTTCCCTCTAAAGGCTGGTGTGCCACAGCTCGAGGACCGTGGGCCACTCGGAACTTGTCCTGCAGGCCCTCCCCACGGGAGGCCTTGGTCACTACTAACCGCAAGCGCCTGAGGACAGGAGGAGTGGCCACGTGATAAGACAGGGTTTCCAGGTCCTCTGACCAAGGGCCGCCAAATGCCAGCCTCCTGTGCTGGGACGAGGACCCCAGTGGGCGCTATGGGGACAGCCTCACTGACCTGAAATGACGGCACCTCGTCACGCTGCTTCAAGGTGAATCCCAGAGCCTGGGTCTTCCCGCCCAGGAGCGCACAGGCCTACAGGATGTCCCGCCACGGCCCCTCCAGCTTCCACTCCTGCAGCAGGAAGGAGAAGGCTGGGGCGCCAGAGCCCTGGTACCCTGGAAGGCTGGGCTTCAGGTGCCCGCCCTTGCCCTCTGTGTATAAAATAAACCTCGTCCCTCAGCCTCTCTGGACCTACAGAGTGAGCTTTGCTTAAACAGATCCACTAGAGACAGAAAAACTCAGGTGATGTTTTTCTAGAGTGTGTGTCTTCTAGAATATGCGATGGCAGTGCCGCCTTCTCACCACTCTTGGTGAACCCACAGCCATGCTTTTTAAAAATAGGCCATCCCATCAGTGTTCACGTTCTTGCTACCTGGAGGACAGGTGTTTCACTCTGACCTGCTGAGCGGAGGCCAGAGGCTTTCTAAAGCAGCTCGCCTGTTTGCATGTCCTGCCAACGCCATGGGGTGGGTTAGGTGCAGACGCATCTCCTGGGTTTCCTGTGTGTCTGTTCTGGTGCCAATGCCATGACTGTGTTCAGCTTAGGACCTGACTTCCTTAACAAGACTCCTAACGTGCAAAAGTAAAATCAAGAATCAATAAGTGGGATGGATTCAAACTAAAAAGCTGCTTCTCAGCAAAGGAAACGATCAATAACAAGAGAGAGCCTACAGAATGGGAGAAAATCTTTAGATAGAGCACTAATCTCCAGGATTTGTAAAAAACTCAGCACCAAAAAAACAAATAACCCAGGCAATAAATGGGCTAAGGAACTGAACAGACACTTCAAAGATATACAATTTATCAGATAGAACCCACTCTAAGATTGCATTTCACTGTAGTCAAAATGGCCATTATCAAGAATATAAGCAACAATCAGTGTTGGTGAGGAGGTGGGAAAAGTTACACTCATACATTGCTGGTGAGACTGCAAGGTGGTTCCACCACTAGGGAAAGCAGTGTGGGGATTCCACAGAAAACCTGGAATGGAACCACCATTTGACATCCTTGGTTCATATCTAAAGGACTCAATATCAGCATACGTAGGGCATGATGTAACGGGGGGCATGTGGCTTCAGAAAAGAGGAAACCTAACTTGCTGGCTGCTACCCGCTTTGCAGCCTGGGGCCACAGGTGGCTAAGAGAGCACCTAAGGATTAGCCAGAGGGCATTGCTGTGGGTTGTGAGGAAGAATCAGACCACCTCTAGGATAGGCTCAGAACCCTTCTGCCCTCACGGACAGCTCCTGTCTCCCATTACTGCCTGTAGGATGGGTGTAGGATCTAGTAATGCAGCCACGTTAATGTTTATAGCAGCTCAGTTCATAATAGCCAAACTATGGAACCAACCGAGGTGCCCTTCAACAGATGAATGATGTGGTTCATATATACAATGGCAATGTCACTCAGTCTTGGAGAAGAATGGAATGGTGGAGCTGGAAAACAGCATGTTAAGCAGAATAACCCTGTCTCAAAAACACCAAACGCCAGGTGTTTTCTCCCGAGTGTTGATGCTAGGGAAGGAACGGAGGTGCTGTGGGTTTAGCGGGGGGGTGTGGGGGAGGAAGGACAGTGGAGTGAATGGGACATTGTCACCTTATGTGCTTGTGCGACTACACGAGTGGTGTGAATCTACATCATGCACAGCCAGAGAATGAGAAGTCACACACTCCACTGAGGTAGGGTGTGTCAGCGTGCGTTCTGCTGTCGAGTATAAGTAATTAGAACAAAAACAAGATAAAATGCCCACCAGGCACAGCCGTGTCCCTGCACTGCCCAGAGCTTTGTGAAGTCACCTGCACGTCACCTTCCCGACTCCCGCTGGCCCTGAGTGGCGAAGAGCGGCCCTGCGTTCACACCACCAAGAGAGTTGTCTGCGGCCACCATGACCCTCCCCTCAACTAAATGAGTTCTGACGTCTCGGGAAAGTGAAGAAACTGCGGCGTCCTGAGGAGGTTTCTTAAAAAGCTTTAAAAGTAACTGCCTTCCATTCCGCAGCCTTCGTCCTATTAATCTCTCTTAAGCCCCATGTTTAGAAAGCACGCCTTGTGACAGAATGAGGCACGCTTCCTCGTCCTCCACATTTATCTCCTCCTCTCTGTGGGCCGTATGGTGATCAACGGCTCCCACCACAGCAGGGCTCAGGAGTCAAAGGCAGGGCGTGCAGGCGCCAGCTGTGTGTCCAGCACGGCCCCAGGCCCCGACATGTGCCAGCCTCCCACTCAGCAAAGCAGGGGCACAAGGTGACGCTAATAAAGCTTTGGGGTGAGGAGACAGAGAGCTTTTCTGATACCCAAAGCTGTGGTTTGTGGAGAGCAGAGACCGCACCGCTGAGCAGCTGCAGTGAGGGACAGTCCAGCTTCTGTGTCCATGCTGAGTAGGGCTGCTCCAGCGTCTTTGTGCTTTTGCAAGTAAACTCCGGTGGGGGGGGTCTCCGTTTTAGGTCCTCTCCATACTGACGGGGGCCTTCCACGTGTTGGTTGCATGATCGTGACGGGATAAGGAGCGGCAGATGGGGCAGAGCTGCTGCGATGGAACATGCAGGCCGCGCAGGTGGTCCCCCAGGTGGTGCCCATCAGTGCAGGCGGTGTGGCCACAGTGGGGGGCCCCTCTGTCCTGCCTCTGCCGCTCACCTGGACACCTGCGTCTCTGCACAAGCACATCCAGGATGACAGTGCAGATGTATGTCACCCCCACAAAGTGCAAACGGCTCTGAACTCAGCGGCTCATCCAGCCCAGGGTCCCCGAGGAGGACTGCAGACAGGAAGCTCCCCGCTCGTGCTCCCACCTTCACAGTGTCCTCGCAGCCCGGGACCTGGCGTGAGGGGGCGAGGACATAGCCAAATGCCACTTCCTCATGTGACAGATAGTGTCCAGGGGGACTCTCAGACCAGCCTCCAGGGTCAGCGAGGGGCCCAAGGGTAAGGAGAGTGTCTGAGGACTGAACGTGCTTTTATGTCCACCTGACAGTGGCGTCCACTGCATGGGTCAGGAGCCTGCAACAGCAGGCGCGGTTTGAGGCTCGATGCTGTGTGGAAGAGTGTGCACAGAGCCAGGAGCAACTGGCTTCCCAGGAGGTGCAGCCCCCATGGCTGGACGTGAAGGAAGAGTCCACTTAGTCTGTCCAGATGCCACGTCCACGAGGAGAAGCTCCTGTCTGGCCAGCCTGAGGTCAGCTGTGTCCCCCACCAGCCATAACTGTTGGGGGACATAGCCCCCATCCATGAACCCAAGGGTGGCAGAGCCGAGAGGAGGAACATCAGTCCGTCCCCGCCAACAGCTCTGAAACTAGAAATCACAACCTTGATGTGACAGTGCCCCAGGCACACACAGCACGTGGGCTCCCATCCCAGAGTCCCTGGGACTGTCAGAAAAGCCCCAGGACCATGTGCCGTGGTGCACGCCTCTCATCCCAGGAACTCGCCAGGCTGAGGCAGGAGGATGACAAGTTTGAGGCCAGCCTCAGTAACTTAGTGAGACCCTGCCTTGAAATTAAAAAATAAAAAGGGCTGGGGATTGCGTTGGTGGTTAAGTGCACCATCGTGCACCCAGGAACCTGATGGAACCCAGGCGGGAGGAGGAGGAGCTGCCCAGGGAAGTGAGGCCGAGGAGGAGCAAGGCTGGACGTCGAGGAAAAGGGACATCCGCTTTGTCACCAGGGCCCAGAGGGGAGGCCGGCGTCTGCAGGAGCAAGCAGAAGCCACCCCCGGCAGCCGCAGGGCTGAAGGGCCCGAGGGTCCCGAGGAAGACCCTGGGGAGCATGCAGCACAGCTCACGGGCCCAACCTCCTCTGCCTCCGAGTCCTGCGGAGGCTCACCCACCTTCCCAGGCCCCAGTGGCACTTCACGGAGGCCAGAGATTTAAGAAACACCGCGTTCCTGACCGTCACCGACGGACTCCAGGAACTCACCTCTGTCCCCTTTGGCCAAACATGCGGAGGAACTAGAGCTTTGTGTTCCTGAGCATCGTGGCCAAGGGCTGCAGCAGCCTGGGGGGGGGGGCAGGCGGGGAGCCCAAACCTCTCCTCCCCCAGGGCTGCTCCGTGGTCACAGCAAGACCTGGGCCAAGAAGCACCTGGGGATTCCTGCTTCTCCGCTGGGCGCCAGCTGCAGCAGTGCTGACCCTAGGTATCCGCGGATACGACAGGAGGGGGCCAGAAAGGCCCTGTGACCTCCTGCACATCCTCCGACAGCACAGGTCAAAGTCTGGTGGCCGCGTCCAGGGTGGAGGCTGGCAAATGCTTAAGAGACTCAACAGCAAACACGTTACATCTTGTGGGCCAAGTGACCACATCAAGGCTCCTAAGCTCATGCCCAAGCTCTACTAGAATGTGACGTCTAAGAACGGAGGCATCATCCTTAGCTGTGGCCCTACAGAAAGATGCAGGGCCATGTCTGGCTGCAGACCATGGCGTGCCGGTCTCTGATCTCGCTGAGTAGGAAAGCCCCTCTCACATTTCCATTCTGAACCGTCCTCTCTCATTCCAGTCTACACAAAACCCCATGTGTTCTCCCCCGAGTCCAGAAACCTGTAGTGGATCCAAGATGCAGACCAGCCACTGGTCTCGTTGCAGTTTCTTTGCAAGGTGAACGTGTTGGGGAACGTTAAGACGTCTGTGTTCACTATGTTTTTAGAAATGACGGAACGCAGGTGGCATCTCGTTTTATCCTGGTGCAAAGTGGTAATGGCGGTATTCAACAGTGGAGGGAAGTGTTCCAACTGCTGTCGCCACGTCGCTAACTTGGAGATGCAGGTTTGCCTTCTCCAATGACATTTTATAAATGGCATCTGCCTCTGAGTGTTCCGTTTTGATTCACAGCAATCTGTTGGCATCACACGTGAACTGGAAGAGAATACGGAGCCTTCTGCCTCCCGGACCCTGATTTACATGCCCGTCGGAAGGTCAGATTGAGCCTCTGTGTGCTTAGAGCCCAGAGATAAAAGGCAGCCTGTGGATTTCTCCCTTTCCTGGCAGGATGGATAATTCTTTTAAAAAAAGAAAAATGAAAAGGAAGAAAGACGAACCAGTAACTCTGCCATGTGAGCTTCCAGCAGCCAAGCCCGGTGCACAGG